ACAACACTGTTAAGACAAACGTGGGAACGGCTCAGAGATCATTCATGCAGGCCATGGAACAGACCACAGCTAACGTGCATTGGATGCAAAGTCATTACCACGAAATCGATAACTGGCTCTCAAACACAAAGCATTTACTAATTCGATAGCAATTACATTAGATTTTCTAAGACTAGTCGTCGTATTGTTTGCCCAAACATTTTCTATGAAACCATAATTATATTTCACTTTATTTTAATTTAATCAACAATTCTATTCATCGAGTTTTCATTTAATTTGTTGTTCATTTAATTAATTAAGACCTCAATTATGTGTAATTAGATCCTTATGCGAGACATTCATTCATGTCATTAACATAAAAATCTGTAAATTACGAGATTTTCGAGTTATGCCTATTGATTGTTAGAATTAATTTGCGAGTTTATATTCAACTGTTTTTCAACTATACTGCAATTAAATTATATTTAGACAAGAAATTCATGTCTTTTAATACAATGTAAATTAAAAGTTCATTAGTATTTAACTGTAAACATAAATCACACACTATTTACGGCCAGTAAATATTTTGCATTTTATTTCCAAACATTTCATTTGTAAAAAACAATAAATTTAAATCATTTTGAGTAAGAATTAGACATTTTCTTATTCGCCGAAAGTATTATCGAAAACTTATATAATTTCGGAAACAATANTCTCCGCTTTCGTCAACTCTTTCACCGATTCATTGACGCGTTTGTCATGTTTTCGGACAATATTTGAGACACTCTTTTGGACATTACTGGACACACTCTTCGAGACATTATTTGGGACACTCTTTGTGGTAGTGTTTGCCTCAACAGGGGTGGCATTCCTCTGCTGTCTGAGCTGTGAAATGTCGGGTAAATTAATGACTTGACACTTGAACTCAATTCCCTTCTCTTTGAGCTGATTCTCCATTTGTCGCACTTTTTTGAGTCGATTTCGCATTAATTGAAACTCTCTTTCAATGGATTTGTTTTTGTTGTGCAAAGACTTATGGATTTGTGTGGAACTGACGAACGCTTTGTTCCAACTCCTGAACAAATTTGGTCTCTCCTTCACCTCCGAGTGTGGCATCAATTTGCCTGTCATTCAAAGCAAACATTCATATCAATCACCAAATCATAACCTAATCCATGGAAAGCATACATTTAACGATGTGATCAAACATCAGATAGTTATCCATAGTGTTGGCCACGATTTGTGCCACTTCTTCAAACTCAAACTCAATGAACCCATAGTTACGCCTCTTTCCAGTCTACCAATGGATCCAAACAACAAAACAATGCATTACTAAAGGTATGGTCAGTCGAGACCATAAGACATACCTTCTTGTTCTTCGAGATCCTAATCCGTAATATTTTACCGAATTGTGAGAAGTATTCAAACATTTGTTTCTCATAGAAACCGATGGGAAAGTTGCTGATCATTACCACACCTCTCCTCACATCCGTTTCCTGCAATCAAACGTGTAATTAGTGTCTTAACTATCACTCAAACACATCCCATAATCTAATCCAATATCACATACTTCGGTCTTTTGGGTTACTTTCCGTTTCTTGGTTTTGGTTTTGCCGACGGCTTTGCGTCCGTTGATTTGGGCACCATTTGATCCACTCTTAAGTGACTTGAGTTTAGACACAGATTTACTTAAACTAAACATTGTTTTGATTGCAATTTAACGATCAATTCATTCAATAATCAAATGTTAAATAAATACAAAAATCAAATCAAATGAGAAAAACAGCAAAACGTGAGTCAATTCACAGCAAACATGTGCTCAACAGTAGAGGTGTTGACGGCCTTCACAGCAATCGCTTCATTGAAGAGTTGACGCAATATTTGGTGTTTTGTGTCCTCACGAAGACATCAACGTTGGGTCCAATGCTTAAGAAGTATCCTAAAGACGAGGCATTCAAGTGGTCTAAAGTGTTCAAAGGTGTCATATATGTGGAGGCAGTCATACTCTTAGGCTCTTTCTATCTCTACCGCAAACTATGTCGCGACCAAAGTATGGCAACCATTCCTCCACAGCTGTCACTCTTTACACTAATTATCTGTTATTTGTTTAGATTTCCGCTATAATTGCCATCAAAAGCATAGTTTCATTCTTGAAAGTATTTATCTCTTATAAACATTTGTTTAATAAATGAATGACAACTAAATTAATTATCTATTGAAAGCATTTTATAACTTCATGGAAGTGGTCGGACACGACTACTACCGGACAATGGACTACAAGAAGTGGAATATTGCCATCACAGACAAGAAGGATCAGTGATTCACTTAT